CACTGTCTACAGCTCTCTACAGTCAGGTGGGTGTCGGGCTCCTCTCTCAGGCAACTCGTGACAGGACGAGAGGGCATGGTCTGAAACTGCATCAGGGAAGGTTCAGGCTGGATCTGAGAAAGCCCTTCCTCACAGAGAGGGTGCTCAGGCACTGGGATGCACTGCCCACGGAAGTGGTGGAGTCACTGTCTCTGGAGGTTTCTAAGGAGAGGCTGGATGTGGCACTTAGTGCCGTGGTCTGGCTGATGTGATGGTGCTGGGTCACAGGCTGGACTTGGTGACCTCAGAGGTCTTTTCCAGCCTCAACAATTGTGATTCTGTTTCAGGCTACTACAGGTGTATGGTTCTGATACCTAATCACAGGTAGCATGTACGTCTTCAGTGAACTTGCAGCGAGTCTGATGTTAAGGATTAGAATCCCAAGTCAGCCTGTTCCTCCCCTATAGTTCTCTCCTGCTGCATTTCAACAGTCTACGTAGGTACAGGACCCACCACAAGCAAAACTAGCAGCTTTTGTACTATTAATTAAACAATAAAAGCAATTTAAGAGGACATAACCCTTTGCAGTCCCTAGTGATTAAGAGAAGGAAAATAACAAATGATACCACTCCCCAAAAGAGAAAAGTGTCAGACCAGTTGAGCTGACTTTCGATTTCCAGTTCATGGTGAGCACAAATGACCACCTTCTTATTTTTATTCGTTGTCCATGTTACAGTGAGTTGTTGCTCAGAGGTATTCAAGTGTAAAAGGCCAGTTCTCAAAAGCAGAAATACTTGGGAGGGTCTTACTTCCCCCTCCCTGTTGCCACGTTGTTTTTAAAAGCCCAGAATCCTCTCAAAGAAAGGAACACAATAAGAGTGCAAACTCAATTTTAATAAAGAAATTGTTATCTTCTTTATTTAAAACTGAAATACAATTAGTTTTGCCTGTAAAAACAAATCTTTTCAGTATTATGTCAATATAGCTAGTTTCATCATTTGTAACATTTATGCTGATGCTTCAGTTCTGAAAAGTTTTTTTTGCTTCTTCCTCTGAATTTTGCGCAGCTTCTTTTTATCTTTAACAATTGGCTTTGATTCTGGTTTCACAAGCTGTATTTCCACTGGCTTTTCTTCAGCTGGAGTTTCAAAGACCACTTCAGTGGGATCTTCACCAATAAGCACTTTAGTCCCTTTTTTCTTAGTCTTTTGTACTTCCTTCACTTGCTGTTTCTCTCTAAGCTTAGCCGCCACAGACAATCTTATCATCCGTCGATGCTATAAAAATAGTAAATTAAATTATGTCAGGTTTCAAACAAGCAAGATACAAGAAAACACAGGTATTGAACAAACTGGTGGTAATTTCTCTGCTTAACTGTCAAAATCCTCAGTGTAATGCCGTCTTTTCAGTGACACGAAGTTTGCATTCATTCAGTTTTTACAAAACTACTCTGTTCTCACACTGTGATCAGTTAGGGCACTCCTTGTACAAAGGGCCCAAGGGAGAGGCATACATGACCCTCCTGCGCAGACAGACGTTACAGAATTATAGAATCATTTAGTTTGGAAAAGACCTTTACGACATCCAAGTCCAACTGCTAGCTGCTAAATGAAAGAGTAGACAGCTGCTTACCATATTTGGGGACTGGTAATGGGGATTTTCATACAGTGTTGGTCCTCCAAAGCTGCCCTGGAAGATTTTTATGAGGTTCAGGACAAAACGAGGCCCAATTTCTACAAGAGACGCATCTTCTTCTATTATCTGAAATAAAAATACACTTTGATTCAATCCATGGGAAATAAAAGTATGTCCTTGTAAGCACTGTGCACTATTGAATTTAAATCCAAGACAGATGCTGCTGAAAGCCGATACCCTAGACTTGTATAAACACAATGCTGTATATAATGCAGTTCTTTTAGGTTTAAGCAAGTACTTAAGAGAGTTCTAGATATTTGTGAATTCCTCCTTTAGAAAGTAAGCTCCAGCACATTTGGGTCTCAAGCAGCAAGGAAGGTTAAAAAGCAAGCAGAGCTTAGGCTTTGGCTAGTACTTCCTGTTACCGAGACAACCATCACAGAATCACAACTAACAGAACTGACACTGAAGCACCAACTTAAACAGGCTCTCTCCAGAGATATGGGAGAAGGCAAGGCATTTTGAGACACTTAAACTATGTTGTGCAAGCACAAGGTGTTGGCATATCCTGGTAATAATTATTCTTCTCATTTTATTGTAATTAATGGATTTAATATGAAATTACTCCAGAGCTCCTCTCGAAGACCTAAGAGAGACTACTAACCTGGTAATTCCGAAACCAGATCCTCTCATCTGTAATGGTGAAGGTGAAAACATGATCTACAAAAGGCTGGCTTTTGGGGTGATACTGTGGTGTACTAAATATCTGTAGAAAAAGGCAATATCTTTAAATACCTGTAATTTAGGAGGCCAAACAGAAATGGTTTATTTTTAATTCATTTTAATTTAATTTAATCCCAGCTTACATGTCAAAATTTAAGAACAAGTGTCCCAGTGATTTTAGGTATGTTACCCTAATCCTTTAAGACTTTTTGCAAGTTCAGAAGTGTGAAACTACTACTTAAAAAAACACTTGAGATTTTAAAATATGTTGACAAAACCGATTTCCAATGAGGAAGAAATGCTGGACATCAGGAGTACAGACTCACCTGAATAAACAATTCTTTTAGCAGGGCGTAGTGTGGCTCCTTGTCAAATATCTACAAAGAAAAAAGTGTAATTTTACATACGAAGCTAATTGCAATAGTCATGCAAAGAAAACAAAAGCACACTCGATAAAACAAAAGCTATACTTACTGGATCAAAAGACAAAAGGGGCCGTGAGCCCCTCAGGCAGTTTCCCGTCATCTTCAATTCAGCCAGCGTGTGAACTACAGTGATTTTTTTTTTTTTAAAAAAAAAATCGTTTTAGTACTTATGGAAAAACTGTACAGATGAGAAACCAAGAGTCCAAACACAACAATGCCAACCAACTTACCGTTCTGCACTAAGAATTTAGCTGATGGTCCCTGTGGTATATTTGAAAGCCTGCCGAGGACAGGTAGTGGGGAAGAGAGAAAAGAAAAACAGCATCGGCCATAAGGTATTTCTACAGTACACTCCAACCAATTATTTCTGTACTGGTAATTTCAGTTGCTTTTATAGCATTATCGAGTTCCTTTTAGCATATTTATAAATGCTTCTGTTAACAGTCTACAAAAGCTGGCCATGCATTGTAAACTTGCACTACCCAAAGAAATTTAGGATCAGTACAGATTTTACTAACAACATTATTTCATGCATCTTCACTCTTAAAGTAAGAAACTTCAGATAGAACAGAAGCAGTTGCACCTATATACGGAAATATAAGAAAATTTAACATTTCCTTACCACATATAGAGATCCTGTTTCTTTTTGGCTTCAAAAAAGATGCATTTATTGCAGTTTTTCATTTCACACACCTGCACAAAACACATCAAATTAGCCGTTTACAAAATTCTGAAGACATTTTACAAAACTTAACCTTCCCTCCTTCTAAAATATAAGTTCTAAAGCAAATGTCTTAATGAGTTACACCCACCAATCTCCAAACTTAATTTGAAGAACTTGTTTTGTTGAACCATTTAGCGTATTTATTACCAGGAGTCATAACTTCATTAATGCTACAAGCAACCTCAGAAGCTCTCCAGGATATAAATATTAGAGCTGGAGCTGTGAGGTTAGGTTCTAGTTTCAGAACTACTGATGTCCTATACCACAGTGCCTGGCCTGGCTGCACGTGTTCCCTGCTTTCCTCAAGTGTAAACTCTAATACACCTTACACCTACACAGAAAGGCACATTCTGTTTTATTTCTTCATGACGAAAGTCTGTGTTTAATTAAAGGTTTCATTTTGGTTTTATTAATCAAAAGTCAACTCCTTGTTTTAACACGAGTGCTTTATGAATATCAATCTTTTTCGCTGATGAACTTATAAAACTCCTGAAACTATGAGATCCTTTGAACTTGGTTGCCCTTTTCTCTTGCACGTTCGATTTCCCAAGAAAATAAAAAAGCCTCACTAGTGAACTTGATTACCTCATTAATTACAAACAACTGGTCTTTACGGTCCATTTTAGTATCTGGAAGACAAGAAAAACATTTGGAAGGCTGTAATAAATAATGTAATAAATAAACATAGCAACAAAAGCATCTGTGCATTTAGAGGACTGAGGCGATAGGTGCAATTTCCCAGAAATTATTACAATACAATGACAGCTGACATATTTGTTGACTCAAAAGGGGTTTGTTTTTTGTTTAAGATAAATCAAAACAGTTATGTAATACATTTTTTAAAATAACAGATTATTACAAGTTCTTGGTTTAAAAGTGTTCTGAAAATTAAGTCAGAGAGGATGCCTAACCCTACCTGCTTTAGAGTGAGGCATCAGTGTTCTTAAGTCTTGCATTAGGTGCCTTGTTCTGAAATTAATTCCACGAGAGGAGAAAATAAGCACTCTCTCCTTGTTTTTCCATTTACCCTAGGAAAAAGACACAACAGTCAGGCAAAATGTTTCTAGACTTGAAACTACTACAAGATAGCAACAAAAAATATTTGAATTGTAATTACAGAAGAACATAGTAAGAATATTTGTTATTAACATCATCTGCCCACTTGCACAGAATCATTCTCTTGGCAAGAGTGAAAACTTCCCTACAGAACACAGAATCGTTGTTACTTACATGAAGAACTGTGATCTATCCTGCTTCAGAATGTTCCTACTTTATGGAAAATCACGTTGCCAGAGGTCAGTGTTCAGAAAGACAGAGGAGTCTTAGCTTTATTTGAATAAAGGGAGATTTCACTGGAGTTGCCAAGTCCCAGTGAGGTCTCTCAAACTGCCGGAGGATGCAGCCTCCTTTTATCCCAATTTCCCAGCCACATGAAACCTTCTCCCTTTCCCCAGTGGCTGAGGTACTCAGGAGGTGCAGGCTTCCCAATCTGCCTATTCCGCGTTCCTCCTTAACATGTACCCCCCTTAACAACACACATCACATGTTTCATTAACTCCAACTTTATGACACCCAGAGAAGTTAATATTCATAGGACGGAGAAGTTAATATTCATGGGCCTATTAAGCCTGCACACAAAAGTTCAGAGCATACTTGCCGTTGACTTAATTAATAGCCCTTAATGGTCCAGGAGTCTCATTATCTTCTCCTCACAGACTGCATCCTGACACTCCCTCATTCACAAAGGACATTCCTCTCTCTATTCCATCACTAACATGAAAAAAACGCACACACTCCCCTTCTTGTTTTATCACTTATTTGTAAAGACACTCTACTTTCTTATTCTCTCAGTATGTAAAGCCTTTCACTCATATGAAAAACATAAGTATTAAGAACGTCCTGCACATCTGCTAAAGGCAACCCACTTCTCCCGAAAAATGAGCTGCGCTACAGTCTGAGCACAATTTAGATTTTCCTAGAGAGGAGCATGTGACGAGATCTCAGAGTTCAACAAGCTACTTCTATTCTTCCTTTAAAGGAACTACGAGACAGTCAGTGGAGCCTTCTCTGGACGATTCTGGTAAGTACCTGTGAGACCGGCGGCGGGATGCTGTACTCCTCCGGGCCCGCGCCGCCCGCGGCCGGC